CCCTTCCCGGCCCAGCCCCTGCCCCTGCCCCAGGGGGCTCCGCTCGGAGGGAAGGTGAGAGAGACCCGCCCCCCCGTCACCCCCGGGCTGCAGGGGGAGGTTTGGCCCCAGGCTGCTCCCAGCGGAGCTGGCTGCGATTCCCTGCCCGGGGCCCGGGAAAGCTGCCGCCACCTCCCGGTGTGTGCGGGGCGGGGGCAGGATCATGTTACCGCCCATCCCCCTCCCCCCATCTGCTGCTTTGTTTCCCTGCCCCTGGCCGCGCTGGTCTGGACGGAGGCTGCAGCTCAGGGAGATCTGAGGGGGGCAAATAGGGAGGGGCAGAAGGTGGGCAGGGGAAGGAGTGGGTCCCAGGGGCACAATCAGGGCCGGGGGTGGGCAGCACAGGCGCTGGATATAGGCTGGTGGGGCCCTGCCGCACCCCCTGGCTTGAAGGGTTTTCCACCCTATCCAGGGTTTACAGTTTGGTTCAATGGCTCTCAGCGCCCCGCCACTGTACGGATTGTTCCAGCCCCCCTGCCTGGAACTAGGAGTCATGGTTAAGAACTGGGAACAGCCGGCAGGGGTTGAACCTAGGGCTGGGGGAGGCAGGCTGGGAACCCAGCATAGAATAGATGTTGTTAGCACAGAAATCAGGAGCATTCAGCAAAGTCTGGCTTGGGGGGGGGAATCCCGAGACTGCATCCATCCCTGGGCTTGCCTCACTGAGTCCCAAAACAAGAGACTGATGCACTTCCATCCCCCCCATCCCCAGTGACATCCAGCTTCCCCTCCTCCGTGCTTTCTCTCCTTCCCAGGAAAACAGGTCAGCTGCCCTCCCCCGCTCTCTTCGTTCTCCAACACCTTCGGCTGGCTCCTTGCAGAGGACAGGCTCCGGCCATCGCTTGCCAGGATACAGAATTGTGGCCATTCTCTGTGCTCAGGCAGCCACTCTGCAGTCACACCTGCCCTATAGGGGTCTCTGCAATGATCTCACACCCATGTCCCACCAGATTGATATTTGAGTAACACCTGGGGAAACTGAGGCACACACATGCTATTCAGAGAAAACATGAAGAACATTCCTGCTTCATCACACCCCTCTGAGACCAACCCAGGGGCACTTTCTCCAGTGGCTGGAACCACTCTAACCATACCAGTCCCTGAGCCTGAGCCTCCAAGTGATGGAGAGACCTGGGGAAAGGGCTGGAGCTGGGCAGGGAAATGACTGTGACAAAGGACCCCTTTCAGGGACCTACTGGTGATGCAGGGTGTTCAGTGCTGGGGGGAGGGGCCGAGTCTGTGTTGTGATAAAATGATTGAGGGTTTTCCCAGCATGGCAGAGCCCAGAGCGTCTGTCTGCAGGGAGAGGGGGTGTGACATGTACTGAAGCCCCTTCTGTAACCTCCCCCATTACCCCTCTCGCACCAACAGGCTGAAGAATCACATCCACATTTCGCTCCAGATCGTCCCGTCTTCCAGGGGACAGGGAAAACTGTGATGGAGCCAGCTCAGGTAGGGGATTTGCAGGGAGATGTGGGAGGGTGGGGAGGATTTGTTGTAGAGGGGGAGGGGCAGGAAACACACAGTGTGAGGCAGGGAGTGTGATAAACCTGCTGGAAAATGATAAACCTGGGCCTGATTTTGTGAACCCGCCCATTGGCGGGGAGGGAGGGATCATTCCCCCATTTCTCATCCAGGAAACACCCCACTGGCCACAGGTTGCTGTGAAATATGAAGGGAAGCTGTCAAGGGTCACAGTTCTGGTTCCCGTATCAGCCTGTGGCTGGCAGGCGTGTGGGAAATAAGAAGACCCTGCCCTGCTCCGTCTGCTGGGGGGGACAAGGAGCTCTCACCTTCTTCCACCCCCTGAAGTCTTCTGGCTGATCTGAGCAGAGTGCAGGGAGTGGGGGAAGGGATTCTGCTAATTCAGTAATTCTTCACTAATTTGTTTATTTTTCCCTGTGACTAGTGCAGAGGTGGGCAAACTATGGCCCGCGGGCCACATCTGGCCCACGGGACCATCCTGCCCGGCCCTGGAGCTCCCGGCCAGGGAGGCTAGCCCCCGGCCCCTTCCCTGCTGTCTGCCCTTCCCCAAAGCCTCAAATTGCCATGCTACCAGTGCTCTGGACTGCACAGCGGCGTGGCTGCCAGTCCTGGTGCTCTGAACAGCATGGTAAGGGGGCGGGGAGGGGGGTTGGATAAGTGGCAGGGGATCTCAGGGAGTGGGGGTGTGGATAGGGGTCGGGGCACTCAGGGGACAGGAGGAATTGGATAGGGCGTGGGACGGTTAGGGACGGGGGTTACTGGGATGAGGAGGTCAGGGGACAGGCAGCCGGCAGGGTTGGATGGGTCAGAGGTTCTGAGGGAGGCAGTCACGGGGCAGGAAGTGGGAGGAGTCAGATGGGGGTGGGGCCAGGCTGTTTGCGGGAGGCACAGCTTTCTCTATCCATCCCTCCATACTGTTTCCAAACCCCGATGTGGACCTCAGGCCAAAAAGTTTCTCCACCCTTGGAATAGTGGGATTCTCACTGGGGCAGCAGGTACTCAGTGCAGGACTCTTTGTTGTTTCAGGTGCCGGTGACCTTCGAGGAGGTGGCTGTGTATTTTACCCAAGGGCAGGGGGCTCTGCTGGACCCCGCTCAGAGAGCCCTCTACAGGGATGTCATGCAGGAGAACTACGAGATGGTGACGTCGCTGGGTAAGGGATTCCCGTCCCCTAGGTTATTAGAAGCTGTGGGGTCTGCATGTCTGACACTGGTCAGCTTCTTCCCTGGTCAGTTAGATTGGAGGGGAATGGGCTTCGTAATACATAGCTGCCGTGTGAGAGAGACTTGCATCTCTGTGCCCTCTCCAGTGAGACCAGGGTGTCAAAACCTACCAGATATACTGAATCATCCCCACCTGACCCCCCTAGCTTGCAAGGTGTAGAAGCTGTGTATTGTCCTGTCTGTGTTGTTTCTCATTCACACACAGAATCCCTGTTCACCTCCCTCCTTGATAATAGCTCCAGCCATGCGGAGGGCTCTGGGCTCTGCCGGTTTAGAAATAGGCAGGGGTTTAACTCCAGAGCTGGGTGTGCGTCAGCAAAGCCCCCAAGGAGCACAGGTCCTAGGAACTCCTAGTGAGGGCATCACAATTCCCCTCACTTCCCCAGAAGTCTGCTTCCCCCAAGGGGGCTCAGTGACCATGTTCCCTGATCTGGTCTGATTTCACCACCTGCACAGGATTCCCCCTTCCCAAACCTGACCTGATCACCCGGCTAGAACGAGGGGAAGAGCCGTGGGTGCCTGATCTCCAGGCCTGCGAGGAAAGAGAGATCCGGAGAGGTGCCTGCACAGGTGAGGACTGACACACAAACCATCTGGTGAATGAAGGAAAAAGTGGAGAATCCCAAAAACATGGTATCAGTAAGTGCCCTCAGTTCTTCCTCATCTCACCCAGGGCAGGACTGTAGTCAGCAGATATGACTGACATCGCTTTCCACCTCTCCTGTTACCTGCTGGTGTTTCCTTCCCAACGTTCGTTCTCTGTGAATTTTTGGGTGGGATGTGGAGGCAAAATCCAATTGCTCCGTCTGTGCAGGTTTAGTATGTTGGGTTTTCCACTCAGTGCTATTCCTCTTTCTTTCTCCCAGGCACAATGACTCCTGTCTGGGTTGTCTTTCACCCAGCAGGGGAAGTGGAACCAGAAGGGGCCTTTGTGGGAAGAGCTGCAAGGAATTTTTCCCAGTGCTTAGAACAAGGAGATGACTTGGGAAATTGGCAGAGGTCAGAGAGGCTTCTGGGAAACCACTCAAGGGAGCAAATGGATGAATCTGTTATATGTGGGGAAGGATACAAGGATCCCACAGCCCGGCAGACAACCCCCAAGGAAGACAAATGCTATGAATACCTTGGTTTTGGGAAAGGATTCATTCTGAGACCACAGTTCGTTACGCTTCAGGCAATAAATAATGGAGAGAAACCACTTCAGTGCTTAGACCGTGGGGAAAACTTCAATAACCTCTCAGATCTTAATAACCATGGAAGAAGCCACACGGGAGAGAAATCCTATCAATGCTTTGAGGACAGGAACTATTTGAATTGGAAGTCAGTACTGACTACACATCAGATAAGCCACATAGGAGAGAGACCCCATAAGTGCTTAGACTGTGGGAAAAGTTTCATACGGAGGTCAGCCCTTGTTTCACATCTGGCAATCCACACAGGAGAGAGACCCCATAAGTGCTTAGACTGTGGGAAAAGTTTCATACGGAGGTCAGACATTGTCAGACATCAGGCTATCCACGCTGCAGAGAAACCCCATAAGTGTTTGGATTGTGGAAAAACTTTTATATGGAAGTCAGGCCTTGCTAAACATCAGGCAATCCACATAGGAGATTGTTCCCATAAGTGTTTGGATTGTGGGAGAAGTTTCACAAACAAATCAAATTTTATAATACATCAGAGGATCCATACAGGAGAGAGACCCCATCAGTGCTCAGACTGTGGAAAAAGTTTCATACAGAGGTCAGACCTTGTTAGACATCAGGCAATCCACACAGGAGAGAGACCCCATAAGTGCTTAGACTGTGGAAAAAGTTTCATATGGAGGTCAGCCCTTGTTTCACATCGGAGAATCCACACAGGAGAGAGACCCCACAAGTGCTTAGACTGTGGGAAAAGTTTCATACAGAGGTCAGCCCTACTTGATCATCAGGCAATCCACACTGGAAAGAGACCCCATAAGTGCTTCATCTGTGGGAAAAGTTTCATACAGAGGTCAAATTTTGTTGAACATCAAGCAGTCCACACTGGAGAGAGACCGCATAAGTGCTTGGACTGTGGAAAAAGTTTCACACGCAGATCAAATTTTATAACACATCAGAGGATCCATACAGGAGAGAGACCCCATCAGTGCTCAGACTGTGGGAAAAGGTTCATAGAGAGGTCAGCCCTTGCTGTACATCATAGAATCCACACAGGAGAGAGACCTCATCAGTGCTCAGACTGCGGAAAATGTTTCATACAGAGGTCAACCCTTCTTAAACATCAGGCAATCCATACAAGAGGGAGACCTTAAGTGCTTGGACTCTGGGAAAGGTTTCAGACACAGATCAGCCCTTCTAAACATCTGGCAAAACACACATAGTGCTTAGACTATGGAAAAACATTTCAAATAGATGTCCGATCTTGTTTTACATCAGAGAATACACCCAGGGGAGAGACCCCATAACTGCTTAGCCTGCGGAAAGAGTTTTATATGGAGGTCAGACCTTGTTAGCCATCCAGCAATCCACAGAGGAGAGAGACCCCATAAGTGCTTAGACTTTGGGAACCATTTCATAAACCAATCAGTCCTCCTTTTACATGAGAAAATCCACAGAAGAACAAGACTCCATAAGTACTTGGACTGTGGCAAAAGTTGCACACTAAGATCACACCTCATTAAACACTAAAGAATTCACACACTATCCAACTTCTGTGACACCTTGGTGCACCTCTAGAAATAGAACTAGCAGAGTTTTGTGTGAGGGAGAAGACAATATGCCACGTTTACTGTGAACACAGAGAATTCTTAATAGGAGTAAAAGATAAGTAATTCAGTTTCTATTCCTAGCTAAGATTGTTCACCACATACACACACACACACAGTTCTACAGATGGAATATAACTACCAGCCTCAGTTGCTCTTACTAGTCCACTGGCCAGGAGGTCTAGTCACGAGGAGGGGAGCCGAGTCCTGTCGGTGTGCACCGATGCTCCTGGAGGATGATCGTAGAACGGGAAGAAGAACTGAACCCTATGGTTTTGCACCCATCTTTTTATATGTTTCTATCCATAGATCCTGTCCTGTCCCACTGCTCCTAGACACTGTATGACCATGAGTCATCAGTTAATGGCAGATGTGACTTTGATCTTTTTCTTGATGGGGCTTTTGTTTTTCTTTCTCTTGGGTGGGTTCTTTTGCAAGTTTCACCCATATTGTTCTTCCGCCATCAGGGTGGTGCTGGCAGCTGGTCTTTCAGATGTGCTGGCATCAGGGACTGATCCCATCACACACCCACATTCACACTTTTAAATGAAACAGACACACCTAACATTAAACAGAGTTTCAGTTACAATATGGTGTTGCTTTAATTATAATGTATCAGTGGTTTAAGATGACGGTTTTAGTTACAATATGAAGACACTTTAGTTACAATGTATTAAAAAGAAAAGAGTTATAGTAACAGATTCTTCCAAAGCAATTCTTAGTAAGCTACTAACACATAATTTGTCCTTTCATTTATAAAAAGACAATTTCATTATTAATAAAAGGTGGTTTCATTACAGTAATTTCGTTGCAAGTATACAGAGCCATATTATATAGGTATAATTTATTTAAAGGGTGATTTCATTCTTCAGCCCTACAACCTGGCCCAAAAAAGTTAAGAAACTTGCAGGCTATTTGACCCAGAGTCAACCTTTAGAGATATGTTAGAAAAGTGTTTAAATGGTATTTGAAGTCATTCCAAGTAATAGAGACTGGAACTTTGAAATGTAAACGTGTATTGTTAAAAACATGGAAGAAGATAGTGCTGTTGATTAATCGCGATTAACTCAAAAAAATTAATTGTGGGTAGAAAAATTAATCTTGATGAATCACATTGTTAAATAATAGAATACCAATTGAAATTTGATAAATGTTTTTGGGTGTTTTTCTACATTTTCATATATATTGATTTCTATGACAAATAAGAATAGAAAGTCTACAGTGCTCACTTTATATTATTTCTGATCACAAATATTAGTACTGTAAACATGAAAAGCAAAAATAGTATTTTTCAATTTGCTGTAGTGCAATCTCTTTATCATGAAAGTGTAACTTAGAAACATAGATTATTTTTGTTATATAAGTGCACTCAAAAATAAAGCAATTAAAACTTTAGAGTCTAGAAGTCCACTTAGTGCTACTTCCTTTTCTGCCAATTGCTTAGACAAACAAGTTTGTTTCCATTTGCAGGCGATAATGCTGCAAGTGAGAAGAGGCAATCTTATGACACTGTTGCAGCTGGAGTCGCAAGATATTTACATGCCAGATGCGCTAAAGATTCGTATGTCCCTTCATGCTTCAACCACCATTGCTTAGGCCTTGGCTACACTTGCAGCTGTACAGCGCTGTGAGTTAAACCTAACTTCGTGCAGCTGAGTAGGGAAAGCGCTGCAGTCTGTCCACACTGACAGCTGCCCAGCGCAATGTCATGGCCACATTTGCGGCAATTACAGCGCTTTTGGGAGCGGTGCATTATGGGCAGCTATCCCACAGAGCACCTTTTCCCATTCTGGTGCCGTGGGTTGGGGGAAGGAGGCGTGGGTGCGGGGGATTCTGGGTCCTGTCCCAATGCCCCGTGATGCATTGCTTTGCATCCCAGAACTCCCTTTGTTTCCGTCCACCTTTGGCGCCATCTTTCAACGGTTTCTGTGCAGCGCGATCTGTCTGCAGGAAATGGAGCCCGAACTGCTGAGGCGTATGCTGACGAGTCTCGCCAGCACGTCATGTTTGGCGGTCGAACTATTCCTTACGATCCAAAGTGACAGTGAGAGTGAGGGTGAGGAGTCCGACGATGCTATCGAGCCGCGTAACGCGTACAACACGAAATTGCTTGTGGCATTCACGGACATGCTCAGCACCATGGAATGCCACGTTTGGGCTCAGGAAACAAGCACCGAGTGGTGGGATCACATCATCATGGAAGTCTGGGATGATGAGCAGTGGCTGCAGAACTTTCGGATGAGAAAAGCCACTTTCATGGGACTGTGTGAGGAGCTCGCCCCCACTCTGTGGCGCAAGGACACAAGATTGAGAGCTGCCCTGCCAGTGGATAAGCGGGTGGCTATTGCAATCTGGAAGCTGGCAACTCCAGACAGCTACCGGTCGGTCGGAAACCAGTTTGGAGTGGGAAAGTCGACCGTTGGAATTGTGTTGATGCAAGTTTGCAAGGCCATTAATGGCATCCTACTCAGAAGAACCGTGACTCTGGGTAACGTGCAGGACATAGTGGATGGCTTTGCACAAATGGGGTTCCTAACTGTGGAGGGGCGATAGATGGGACGCACATTCCTATTCTGGCACCACCCCACCTAGGATCCGAGTACGTTAATGGGAAGGGGTATTTCTCTATGGTTCTCCAGGCGCTTGTGGATCACCGTGGGCGTTTCATTGATATTAACACAGGCTGGCCCGGAAAGGTGCATGACGCACACATCTTTCGGAACACTTGGCTGTTCAGGAAGATGCAGGACGGGACTTTTTTCCCAGAGCGGAAGATCACGGTAGGGGAAGTTGAAATGCCCATTGTGATCCCGCTTACCCGTTAATGCCGTGGCTCATGAAACCCTACACAGGGAGCCTTGACAGCAGCAAGGAATGGTTCAACTATATACTGAGCCAGTGCCGAATGACTGTGGAGTGTGCCTTTGGCCGTTTAAAGGGCCGCTGGCGATCTCTGTATGGGAAGCTGGACTTGCCCGAAAACAGCATCCCTGCGGTTATATCTGCATGCTGTGCCCTCCATAATATTTGTGAAGGGAAGGGTGAAAGCTTCACTCAGGCTTGGATCTCCGAGGTTCAACACCTGGAGGCTGAATTTGAACAGCCAGATAGCAGGGCTATTACAGGGGCCCAGCGCGAGGCTGCAAGGATTAGGGATGCCTTGAGGGAGCAATTTGAGGCTGAAAACCAGCAGTGATATCTGGTGCCCTGCACGGGAGTGAAGTGCAGTAGTTCCAATCTTTAGGAATCAGTGTCTGCTAAGCAGACTTGCAGTACCTGTTTATTTCCTGGGCTAAGGAGTCTTTTACTTTATGCAATAATAAAGAATGTTTTCAAAGCCAAAGAATCCATTTATTGAAAAGAAAAAAAAATATTTATTGAAAAGAAACAAGGGGGTGGAGTGGGGAACGGTACAATCACAGATTCGCGTATGTCCTGTCTGGTGTGCTGTGCAGTGAGTGCTGCACTTCAGGAGAGCTATACTGCATGGTGATGGGGGTTGAGTGCAGAGGGTAAGGGTCGTGGTTTTCAGGGTTGAGTGATGAAGATACTGGTGTTGGAGGCAGCGGGTGGCATGAAGAACACGGAAGTTGGGGAAAGTGGGTTGGAGGTGAGAGTGGGGCACAACAGAAAGAGTTTTGGGACAAGGGCTGTAGGGGGAGGGGGTTAGCGTTTGCAGTACTGCTCCTCTTTCTGCATGGCTACCAGGTCCTGGATAGCGTCTGCTTGGCGCTCCAGGATGCTTATGAGCCTATCAGTGCTTTGCTGCCGGTGCGCGGTGCTTTGCCGCCGGTGCGCTGCGTTTTCCTGGCAGATCCTGCTTTCTCTCTCCCTCCAGTCCTTCGCTTTCTCATTCTCTTTAATAGATTGCCGCATCGCTTCTTGCAGCATGTCTTCTTTGCTTTTTCGTGGTCTCTTCCTGAGTCTTTGCAGTCTCTGAGCAGGTGATAAGAGGGACGGCTGAGGTCTCAAGGTTGATGCAGTTGTATAGGCAAAATGCAACATTTAACAGAGGCAGCATTGTTTATACCAGAGAGAGTAATGATTCCCTCCGAACTTAAGGAGTAGAAAACACACAGGGTCTACACAATAGCATAATTTTCCCGTCCAAAACAGAGCACACATATCCCATGGGAGCCTCAAAATGGTGAGTAAGGGGAATGATTGTTTCAGGGCTGCACTGTCCTCTGGGTTTCTGTGCCTTGGGGAGAGCCAACAGCTTCAGGGGGCACCTACACTGAACACTGTCCCAACATTTTCCACAGGAGTTCGTCCTGAATGATATCTCGCTTCTGAGGGTGACCTGGGAAGCAAGGGAGGGTCTTCTACTGCAATGAGTCTTCTGCCCTGGCCCATATGCAGCTTGCTTGTGTGCAGCAATAGTCCCCCTGCCCCTCGCGGCACAGTGGCGTGGACACGTTAGCCTGACTGGGACAAGGACCATGGTGGCTCTCCCGATAAACCTGCGCAAGCGCATTGCACACGTTCTGGATGAGACATTCGAGGAGATTACCGAGGCCGATTACCGTGATGTGATAAACCACATCAATGCACTATTCCGCATCTAGGCATGCATGCCTAACCCTCCTCTCCCAAAGAGCCCGCACCGAAAAAATTCCTTCCCGAAAAAAAAACCCGCTTACCGGGAACCTGCTCTTCTGTTTGTCTTCCACCAAGTACCGGCCACTGCAACTGGCTACCTTCCTCCTGGCTCAAGAAGAGCTCCTGGCTGCATGGCTCCAGGGATTCTGGGGTGTCTCCATCCGGCCCACCACCATCACTCCCGTTTTCCTGCTCCTCCTCCTCCTTTTCCTCCCCCCACCGGCTCTGAAGTGTCCATGATGGTGCTCGGAGTGAAGGTGGGGTTAACACCTAGTATCGCATCCAGCTCTTTGTAGAATTGGCAGATCGTGGGGGGAGCACCCAAGCGGCCATTTGCGTCGCGGGCTTTGCGGTAGGCGCTCCGCAGCTCCTTCACTTTAATCCTGCACTGCAGAGCGTCCCGGTCATGGCCCCTTTCCATCATGTCCTTTGATACCTTCCCAAAGGTATCGTAATTCCTACGGCTGGAGCACAGCTGGGACTGGACAGCTTCCTCCCCCCAAACACTGGTGAGGTCCAGGAACTCGCCATTGCACCATGCTGGGGCTCGCTTGGCGCGTGGAGGCATGGTCACCTGGAAAGATTTGCTGATAGCACTCCACGCCACGCAAGGACAGAACTAGGTCAGCAGCCAGAAGTGCTCAAAGACCATGAGTCTGCCACTCCCTGTCCCCCCAATCAGTTACAGAGATTACCAAGTTGGGGGGGGTATTTGCCCCCTGGATTTGCACCTTTCCAGGGACACTGGGAAGAAAGGTCCTGTCACCTAGAGCCTGAGGGCATGTGGCCACCATGAGAGCATGTGTCTGACCTGCAGAATCCCTGCAGCACTGCCAGGGTCTGAGCAGGAGGCCTGGGAGTGGGAGGGACAGACTGTGAACTGCCCTGGCATTCCAGAGATTCTGGTTATACTTCCCCCATGCCCACAGACTGGCAGTACCAGCCGCTCTTCTTCGCCCCCCTGTTCTCTCCTGCGGATACCAGCAGGGACTGGCAGGGGCCCTTTGGGGGCAGGAGCCGTCAGCGTTAGTGCGCAGCTGATTTCACATCCATTGGACTCCGAGAAATCCC